CAGGCTGGTCCAAGAAAAGGGACAGGGAGCTGTGTCCTCACCACAGTGTTAAACACCCCCACACAGTTCAGCCGTCACCACAGGCCAGCTACTTCCCATGTATCTGCCCACAGAAATAGGATAATTGACTACGATAAAAAGGGAAACAGCAAGACCTGCCTTTGCAGCAGGGGCTGCTGGCTTCCTGCGCCTTACATGCCCCTCCCGGGCCTGAGTCGGGAGTCCCAGTGCAAAATGAAAGAAAGAATCTCTTGCTCATAATCTGTGACCTCCAAGACGGCAATAGCCACAGCCGGAGTCCAAACGGGGAGTTTTCTTTGCTAGGAAACTGGAGGTAACTCCAGCATTCAGTGGGAATCTACCATAAGACAAGGGCTGTTGATCTTCATTGAAAACTAAGAAAGGAGTGTGGCCCTCCTCCTCCTCTTCCTCCTTAGACTGCATCAAATATCGTATTTAATTTGGCTGCACCGGGGGTGGAGAGATGGCTCCGTGGTTACGAGTGGCAAGGTGACCCAGGTTCAGATCCCAGCACCCATATGAGGCAGCCCACAACTCTGTAACTCCAACTCCAGGGGCTCCAACACCCTCTTCTGGCCTCTGTGGGCATGCAGACACACACAGAGATTAAAAAAGAAAACACAAACATAAAAGGAACGGATGGTGGGTTTTGCACTTGAAGACGGCATGGGTCTGGAGCAGAGCACATGGAGAGGTAACTACACAGCCGTGGGAGCTGGGGTGCACGTAGCCCAGCTATTCTGGGATAGACACGCTACTAAGAACCCGCGTTCCGGGGCGTGGGGAGCCTCCCGGTAGCTAAGAACCCGTTCCTCAGAGGCATCACCAGGCCCTGAGGCCATCACTTGTGCCTCAGACTTCCAGGTCCCAGAACTGGGAGATCCAAGTTCCCACTGTCCACAAACCCCTCAGCGTGTTCAACAGTTCCCCGGGACCGCAGCGAACTTACCCCTTCTACATCAGTTTACGTCAGCACGACAGTTTTTGAAGCTTGGAACTGAACTATCCCACTCTCTTAATGATTTCCTCCCGTGCCTACGTGAGCCATCACATTACTCTTTTGGTCTTTTCACGGGCATCGCCCCTTAATCCAGGCTTTGTCTCGCCTCCGAAGGATTGTCACAGCCTGAAGTTTCCTTAAGCATCTGCTGGTGGGCCTGACAGAACCATGACCAACTCCTTAGTTTATTTGTGGTTCCGTGATCCTGGTTACTCAGAGCAAATGGAGGAGTCATGTTTGATTCAGAGAGAGGAGAGAGAGAGAATCATATATCTGTACAGGTCTGACTCAGAACAGACACATTTATTTAGAGATTATCAATTTTACAAACGCCACGGTTTTTTTTTTAATTACAAGTTCAGCTGTTTCAGACACGCCTAAGGCGCACCACCCGGCAGGTTAACATCACAGCGGATTCTCACGACCGTTGATGCGCTTCAAGAAGAGACCCTTAGCCTTATAAGGGAAACAGCTGTGGAGGGTGACAGTGCGGTAGACACGGGGCAGCAACCGAGGCCAGAGGCGTGGCCCAGTCCTGTCTAGGAAACTGCCAAATGTCCCTGAGAAGGGAGACGCACCTCCTTAGGCCTCAGTTTCCTTTCCCGTAAACTCGGGCATTGGCCTTATTTCCTGGCTCTGTAGTTTTCCAGCTCCAATCCTAGGTCTTTCTAACTACCAAAGCCATGACTCCTGTTGACAGCATTGGTCTTGACCCTCCCTGCTGTGAGGGTATAGGGTATGCAGCCGTCAGGGGGTAAGGCTTGGGAGGCATCAAGCAAAACCTCGCAGGGCAGAAAGATGGCTGTTACCATTCCATACTTTCAGTTCGCCTTTGTCCTGAGCTCAGGAAACCAGGGACTGGGGTAGAGACTCGGGTCAGAGAGGCAAAGAAACTTGCCCGCAGGGCCACAGCTGTATAGCCAGCAGGAGGCTGAGTGAGGGCAATTCCAGGCAATGTGGCTCAACAGCTGCCCTCAGAGGTTAGGCTAGCAGGGCTCTATGCAAGGAGTCCGTCCTCATGCCTAGGGCCCTAAGAGACACCAGAGGCCTCGGGCCAGCAGAAAACATGCCAGAGGGAGAGCAGGAAAAGGTTTTTTTTCTCCCCTCCCAGGGCTGTCCATATTGACATTGCAGAAGCCCCAGGACCCAAGAAACATTTCTTTGGTGGGAGGCTAGCCTGCCTGATGCCACCTCACACAGATTCCTGGTACCCATGCGAGCCCACAAACTGGCAAGAGGGGGCTGGCATGGGGAGGTGTGGGGTTAGAAATCCTGGCTTTGTCTTCACCTTGATCTGTGTCGGGTCCCTACTCCCTGGCACACCCCAGGCACACAGGAATTGCGGTAATTCCAACTCTCTACACGTTGTTCCAGGCCTCACCACCCACCTCTCCCTCCATACCCTCTGGGTTCAAAGGGTCCCACTCTGTGGGACCTTGCAACCCTCCCCCCTTTCCTTTTGCCTCTCCAAGGGTCAGGAACTCAGCCTCAATCCTCTTCGCCCTCTTGCCCCCCCCATCACACACACTTTGTGTTTGCCGAGTGAATGAACGGTACACCTCAGACTCAGTGTTTGACTTGGACCTGGGAACCCCCTGAGATGGTGCTATTGACAGGATCACAGGGTAAACAGAAACCAGCCTCCCAGGAGGCCGCACTGTTTCTGAAAGGGGGAGGGCTTAGGGAGTTAATCTTTTATTTATTTTTCCCTCATAATGGTGTCCTGATTCCAAAGAACCCTGTCCGCATTTCACTCTCCAGGCATTTCGTATTTATGCTATCTCATATTTACGGCTCCCTTCTGTTCAGAGTAGGGGCTACACCTGCCCTCACACCCCGCCTCCGCCGTCCACCTGCTCACTCTGCTCAGGAACCTTCCCAGCTTCCATTTCCTCCTAACGCCACTGACTTTTGATCTCGGAGCGGAGGGGTGTGCTTTTATTAGATTCAATTTGCAGGAAGGCCCCCAGGTTCCCTGTGAATCGAGCCGTAATGGTCAATGAATAATCACAGGGCTCAGGCAGGCTTCAGTAGCTAGGAAACCACCCAAGAGAAGGGGGTGGGGCGGGGGAGCAGTCAGAAACGGTGAATCTGTATCCGTTATGTTCCTAAGCGTGTACCTGCCCAAGGCTGAGGTGGATCAACCGCCAGACGGCCCAGGCTAGAGGATGCTTGAGCCAACTCTCCTTCCCCGGGGGTCAACCCATGTCTGCAGTCGCTTTAGATCAGATTTTACATACTTAGAACCATCAGGGTTGGGGTTGCTTCCCGGGATGCCTTCCTTCATTTCCATGCATGTGATGGGGTTGTTGCTGTTGTTGTTGTTTTATTTCTTCCCCAAAGATTTTCCCAAAATGCTCACCAAGGAAAGCTCAGGAAACTTACCATCCTATTATTTGGAGCCCATCTCTACCGAGTCCTCAGCCCTGCTGATGAATCCAGTCCAAGTTCACCTCGGTGACTAATTGAAGTCTAATGGCACAGGTGCCACCGTGACACTCATCATGTGACAACTTTTGTAGCTCTCTGCTCAGTGTTACTGTGCTGCCTTCCAACCGACAGTCTGAGAGGCCCTGAAAGGCGTGTGCTGTCTTGGCAGGCCCTGGGTGACTAAAGACGACCCAGCCACGAGTGCCCACAGTCTCTGGAGCACACGTGAAGGAAGAAAGGGGTCCCTTTTGGGGTACCCGAGCTCCAAGAGATCACTATTTTGTGTGCCAAGCTTCCCCTGGCACATGGAGGCAGGAGGGCACCCTCCTTCAGCTGGGACTGAAGTCCAGGCAAGTCAGTACCTTCCGCTACGTTAAAAAAAAAAAAGGTAACATATGCTGCTCCGTGTCTCCATGGTAACGGACTTGGGGAATCTGTATCCATTTATGGAGTTCCCTCCCCCCCCCCTCGACCTGGGTTCTCTGGTCTAGACCGGAATACTGCACTGAGAAGCCATGAGGAAATATCGATTCCGTCTGTACACGGCTGTTTTAGCTTAGTGGATTCGGGCCTTGGCTCCCGAAAAGGCGATGATATACCAGAGAGAAATATCAAGTGCAACAGGAACTCCATTGGCCTACAACTTCAGATGGGGTGTTGCCATGGAGACCGGGAGCCCTGCGTACCAGGGAAGCTGGGGTTTTCTACTCGCTTCCCGATAAGACTGTCCTTGGAGCGTACCAACCATCAGTCTCACGGCCTTGCCTAAGCTGGACATCTGCGATTCCACACGCATCTCTGGCATCCCCCTAAACTTTTCTGCTCAATACTGAACACAACACCGGCGCCTACAGAGCAAACGCGCAGGTTTCCGACCCTGAACTTGTCACTTTCCCACAGAAAGGAAAACTGCCCTACGGCCGGTGCTCTTGACCATGCGTTTGGAAGACCCACTCTGGACTTGGCATGTCTTCGACCTGCTAGATTAAAGTGTAACACCAATCAATGCCTTGATGAATTAATAAGGCTGGGTTGCTCAGCCAAGTGAGCGCTAAGGCTCGGCTCAGCTCTAGGGGGCGCCATCCCTACCGAGGCGGTAGGAGGGGCCTCCCCAGAGCCAAGCAGCTACGCCACGTTCTACTCTTCCACTTGCGACTCGGCCACCCGCCTACTTTGCGCCCCCCTAACCTCACGTAAGAGTCAGTTCATGACGGAGGGACCAGAAATCAGAATCCGCACATAGATCCAAGCTCAGGGCCGGCTCCACAGCAGACTCCTAACCACCTAACCCGAGTGCCACCGGCGCGCCACTAGCTCTGATCTGGGGGCAGCCGTGCGCCGGGGACGCAGGAGGGCACGGCCCTTGCCCCCAGGAGCAGAGGCCAGCAGGCGGGCGACGGCGGGCAGAAGGGGCGCAGGGAAGGCCCCGGGAGGGGAGTGTGGCCGCCGCTGCCTGAGCTCGGGTCTCCTCCCACGCCGGCCTCTAGCTCGCTCCTCCTCCCCGCTCTCTCCGTCACCCCTGCTGTCCCCACCCCCGGTCCCCTCCGGCCCTCCCCCAGCTCCAGAAGAGCGCGCGGCCAGGACACCGGGCTGGTTACTTCCTCCACCGCGGCGCTGAGCACGGAGTGGACACCACCGCGTCCCACCTATCCCCGCCATCGTCCCCGGCCCCGCGCGCCCGGGTCGGCCCCGCGCCCTCGCCTCGCCGGGCCTCACGCGCCCGGATCACCGCGATCTCCTCTCCCAGCCGCCCTCCGGCCGGCCCTGCCCGCTGCGGCGCGGTAAGAGCGGCCCCGTGTGCGACGGTCCGCGGGAGGGACTCCGCCCGGGGTGGGGTGCGGTGCGGACGGCCCCTGCTCCAGCCGATCGGTCGGTCGCGCGTCCCAGAGTCGCTCCGGCTGGTTCTTCGGCACCCAGTGGCCTCGGCGAGGAACCAGGGCACCCGGCAGGGCGTGTGCAGCCCGCTTTTGTTTTGGGGAAACCAGTGCCCGCCTGGTGCGGTTCCTGCCCGGGGCGCGCGACTGCATTTCTCAAGGGGACTTGGGGGACCCGAAGAGGGTGGACGCGGTAGCGCCAGGTTGGGAGTGACTTGAGTAAGGGAGGCGCTAGGCCTGGGAGGATATGGGGGTGCCTGGCGCCTGGAACACCTGGGAAACTGCGGCTCCCAGGAACGTGTCACCTGCTTGGCTAGGTCTGGGCCCCCAACCCCCTCCCCGGCCCTGCGAAGCCAGCACAGGACAGCGTCCAAGTGGGGGTGCGCATGGCTGCGCTGCCTTTATTTTTTTTTCTCCTTAAAGTATGTGAAGGTGTTGTGTGTGTGTGTGTGTGTGTATTTGACCTGTATTTATTTATTTATTATTTAATCTCGTGAGATTTATGCTAACCTGCACTCAATTTCAGCGGACTTTAAAATAGTGGTTGACTCGCTACTTATTTAGGAAGTAAAGCGGTGAGCAGTCCTGGTTGGAGACAGGAGTCACTTAATTCACCAGTTAAGAGATAGATAGATAGACTCGCTCCCTGCCTTGGAAGCCCCAGTACCTTATCTGCCTGCCCACACCGCCTCCGATCGGGAGATACATCTCAGTGTTAAGCTTTTATTAAAATTCTGAGTAATCTCGCAGTACAGTAAATGTGAACACCGTGCGCCCCACAGGGAAATAGTCTAACTCTCAGATCTGGAATTAGTCATCTATCTCTCTAAACTGATCGCTTTCTAAGCGAAAAGCAAACCAACCTTCAAAGGGTTTTTGTTCTTCCAAAATTTACTTAAATACAAACCTGTGCTCTCTTATAAATGGTTACCTGTTCCAATAAGGATAGATACAGTTTGCCAGTGAAACTCTTGTTTTAAAACTTAACTTCTCAGTCATTAGGTTTCCTCCATTTACTCCTGCTCTTTTAAGTTTTATATTTTTTTTTTAGTACAAGTAGCAGTTAGTCCCCAGAGTACCAAAGGGTCTAAACTTGAAAATTGATTTATCCAGAGTCTCGACTTGTCCCCGGAGTTAGCAAGCACGTTCAGCAGGATAAATGAGCCTAGATTTGATTAGCCATGTGTCTGCCTGAAGCCATTTAGTCGAGCACTTTAATTCTACAGGTTTTTTTTTTTTTTTTTTTTACAAAACTCATTAAAAGCCCGGCAACAAAGGAACCCTGTTCTGCAGCTGGTAATTACAGCTCTTTATGTGGGAGTGGGAACCTCCCTTTTCTCCTCCTGTTTGTACACAAAAAGGCAGGGAAGAAGTTCTTCCCTTGCCTTCCACAGCCATTCATTCACCTCAGAAGCTAAAAATCAGAATTCAGTCCGCAAGTGACTACACATCAGTCCAGCCGAACGTCCTGCCCGACAGCCCCTGGAGGGACTGTGTGGACGCTTCTGGCTCTCTGATTGGTCTCCTGGTTGAGGCTTGTGGTTCGTTAGTCAACAGGTTACAGGGCTGAGTCCGTCCAAGGAGGCAACATGAAGTTCTCAGCAGCCGAGCGTTCCACGGGGCTAGGACAAGAAGGCCTGCTTTACTCACATTCGCGTGCTCTCTACTTTGGTGGGATGTGGCAGGGAGAGCCCAGGGCCCTGCTCACCGGAGGTGTAATCGCCATTGACACCCCAGGGGGAGTGTGGCCCCAGGCCAGTGACTCAGTATCATGGGCCTCAACTCAGCCGCCTCCGTGGCAACGTTTGGAACCTGGACACGGGAGGACTGAGGAGGTGGGACTTGGGGCTTCGTCCGCACGAGGAGCTAGGCGCTCGGCCGTGGTGGCATTTGTTTGTAAAGAATATCGAATCCTCGGTGGGTGTGGCTGAGATGATATACCAAGTAAATGCACCCACCATGGAGACTGGACAGACCCTGCCCGGACTTCCCTCCAAAACTGGCTGGTGTTCCTCCAATGGTCCTCAGCCGTTTCCAGAGCTGCTTGAGCCCAAATCTGCATATCTGAGCTCCTAGCAGCCTCCCCTCGTCGCATTTCTATCCAGGTGTGGGTGTGCGCACACATGCATGCATGCGGTTGTATGCACTTGAGCTATGTGCCGAGTAAGGAACTGTTGGGACATCCCCGCGGACCGTGATGTTGACGAGAACACAAGGAGAGCAGTGTGAGTTAAATAACTCTCTGAGGAGGTGCTGTCTGCTGCCTCTAGTGAGCTCGCTGGTTCTAGCGAGTGTTTGTTTAACAGGCGGGTGCCCACGGAGGAGAGCAGGTGTGGGCCTCTGTGGTGACTGAAGCCTCCTGCTCTCCTGTACCTTGGAGCCTGGAGGGGGGGTGGGGGCTGCCGGCAGGCGCTGATCTTAGGGTAGTAACGAGGTTCAGCGACTCTGTCTGTTTTCATGGCTCTGGTGGTATTGTCGGAAGCCTTCCTCGTTTTTTGCTTCATATCGCTTGTTCGGCCCATTAAGTACACATTAGGACCCCGGGGGAAGTTTTCAGCCCACCGCAAGTCACTTTTTATTTTTATTTTGGTTTCCAACGCCGTTCAAAGCAGTCTTACCGGGCCGGATTGGTTTGACCATATAGTCGGTAGACCTAGTGCGTTCACAGCGTTATGTAAGCACAAAGTAAATATTCAAAGTCCTGAGACGCTTTTTCCCTCTTCCCTTCTAGTCCCCAAGGCCTCACACACACCCTCACTCACGCAGAGCCTGTCTCCCTTCACAGGGAGCCTTGTCAGAGCCGGTAGCCACAGCGGCCAGCCGGTGGCCAGCCCAGCTCTGGTATGAGCCCCCGTTATTAGAGCAAGGGCCTGGCTTTCGTGAAGGGATCGCAGAACTGCTGCACACGCAGCAGAGAAGTTCTGAGGTCACACCCTCAGAGCCTGGGGGACCTGCGGCGATGAGGGGCCGGGTGACTCGGGGGCCGTGGGTCTCCGCATGGCCGGGTGACTCGGGGGCCGTGGGTCTCCGCATGTCTCCGAGAAGGATGACGGTGGTGGTGGGGAGGAGGGGTGTGGTGCGCTCTGGCGTGACTCCCTTGGGGACTTCCAAAGCAGGCGTGACCCCTCCGTGGCTTGCATTAGGTGCTCAGGTTGAACCGACCGCCCTGTGCAGACAGGGGGTGGTGGCATGTGGCCCTGCTCCGCACCGCCTAAGGTCTCACCCCAGCTGCCCACAGAAGACTCCGGGCACAGCCTCCTTGCTCTCGGCTAACCCCGGGGCGTGGGGGCAGCCCACGCAGTGAGTCTCACATCGAAGTTGGATCTCTGCGGGGACCGCCGCCCCGCCCCACGCGCGCGCACCACGCCCGCCCCCTCTCCTTGAGAGCTGCTTTGTCTGGGCTCCTTAAATAAGAATTCCCGCATCCCAGGCACGTGGCCATCTTTGTGTGCACCCAGCTAGGGATCCATGTCGCCGCCAATATTAACCTTTCAAGACGCGCCCTTCATCTGTGACCTCTCTAACTCCGTCTCTCTCTTTTTTGTTTTCTTTTCCTTCAAGATGAACGATTTTGCAATCAAGAACATGGACCAAGTGGCCCCTGTCGCCAACAGTTTTCGAGGGACGCTGAAGGTGTGTGCTTCTTAAAGATTTCTCTTGACAGTTTCAGGAATTCCATTGATAATGGCGGGGAAGAAACCCATGTTGGACTGGGTCCCAGAAACCTGGTTCTTGGCCCCAGGTTTTTAAATATCTTAGCTGCATGACTCTGGGGGGGGGCTGTTTAATCTCCCTGGGCCTCAGTTTTCTGTGCTGTGAAATGGGTGTCACGATACTATTTGTTCCTGTCCCCCCCACCCCCAAGATATGAAAGTAGTTCACTTGCAGGTAAAGTGGCTGTTGCAGTCCACCCATGAGTGGTCCCTCGGATCGGAAAAACAAGTCCTCCGAGTCTTGAAAACAGCTGGAGAGGATGTGTCCGGCCACCTTTTTTTAATCCACTCAGGGGTTTCCGTGGCTGATCCAAAGGCCACTCCCTTTTTAACTCCCTCGCATGTATTTATTTATCCGTGTCTGTGCGCACATGCCTCGATCCATCCATGTGTAGAGGTCGGAGGACAGTTTGTGGGGGTCAGTGCCCCCTTTTCTTCCACCACATAGGTCCTGGGGATCAAACACGGGTCACCGGGCTTGGCACCAAGTGAATTTCCCCCGCTGGTCAACCTCAGCACCCCCAGAAGGCTGTCTATAAACTGAAATCAAGCATTCCTGTGCTGTTTCTGCCACGAGGGGCTGCACGCTCACACACACACACACACACACACACACACACACACACACACCCCGAGGCTACAGGGAGCCTGCTCTCTCTGGTGCAGCAGCAGGTCTGTCTGTGCAAACCCCAGGCAGACTAAAGGTGAAAGAGCTGGCTCCCTGTGCAAACACTTTTCGAGTCACATCTGTGGGACGCTCTTGTAGCATGAGCTGGTGATTTCGTGTATGGGTGTGTGCGCACGAGCGCGTGTTTGCGTAAAGAGGCCAGCGGTGAGTGGCTTTCTCTATTGCCCCTCCGCTTTGTTTTGAGACAGCGTCTCTCTCGCTGAACCTTCTGCTCGCCAGCTAAGCGAGACTAATGCCAATCAGGGCTCCGGGAGCCTCCTGTCTCTGCCCTCCCAGTGCTAGGATTACAAAACCACGGGACAGTCTCTAGTGTTGGTTCTTGCCTTCTGCTTATTGGAGGCAGGCTCTCTTGCCCCCTGCTGTGTACACAGAGGCTGGCTGGCCCTGAGCTCCTGTCTGCCCCTCTTCCCAGCACACTGGGATAACAGACAGGGTCCCTTGTCCAGCCTCTCGTGGGTTCTGGGGACCCCAGCTCACGTCCTCAAGCTTCCCCCAGCAAATGCTTTTCCTGCAGAACCATCCATCTCTCCAGTTCCCTAAAAGCCGCTCTTACGGCTATGTGTCTGGTGCAAAAACTCCAGAGGCGGAACCTGGCACCCGTTGGTGTTAGGGTTAGGCACCCGTTTTTATGTTATGGTGAAGGCATCGGATCCCAGTGTGCTGGGAACCCTAACCCTAACACCACCCTAATCCCTGTTCGATTTAGCTAGGCGTCTTAAGCACGGCAGAAATGGTGTGAGGAAGTGTGATGGAGCCACATACACGCCTGGGGGGGAAAACACCCTTCTGTAAATGGAAAGAACTTGCTGATGTCTGGATTCGGAGAAGGCATTCACCGCCAGAGTCTGTGTTGAAATCCGTAGCAAGGCTTTGCATTACTCTGCGGCTTCCTGGTTTTAAAAAAAGAACTTCCAGAAAGACGCTTCCTAGAGGCCCGGGCGATGCTTTCGGGAAGGTTTTTTGTTTGTTTGTTTGTTATTTGGTTTGGCTTCTTTTTGTTGTTGTTTTTCTTGACATCTGTTTACTATTTCACCAAAATCATTTCCACATAAAGTCCCTGCTTCACATACTTCAGTGGGCCTGCCCTCCTGGGCCGTTGGCAGCCCTTGGGGGATGGGGGTGTTGAGGATTGAGGGTTTGGCAGCCTGCCCTCTTGTTCAACACGTCATTTGCTCTTCTGCATTTCTGAAACGAAGGCACAGCACTGAGCTGATTCTATTTGTAAATGTGTTATGCATTTATTTGCCCATGATGCAACACATGGGTCATTGTGTTACACACGATGTGGGGTTTCCAGATGATGTTGGGAAACAGAACTTTTCTTCACATTCTTTAAAGGAGCCGGGCAGGGGTGGATTGGACTGGTCGGGAGTCTATCCGAGCCCCTCCCTTGCAGAGTGCTGGGGGTTTTTTGGTTTTTTTGTATTTTTGTTTTGTTTTGTTTTGTTTTATAAATGTTGCCTTTGAAAGTCTCCCGATAGTTGGTTTGAAGTTTCTTTTCCACAATCTTTTTTTTAATTATTATTATTCTATTTTTATCATGGAAAATATTAAGGGTTTTACCCCCACACACACAATTATTATTGTCTGAACCACTGGAGTGGTGAGGAAGGACTTTCCTCGATTCACTTAAAGTGGTAGATACTTCAAAGTAACTATCCAAAGATAAGAACGGCTTATTGGCTTCAATTCTCCCATTTCTTTCTGGCCTTCTCTTTTTGTCTGAAGTGTTTTACGCCAAAACACCCTGCCCTGTTTTCTCTTCCTATACACCCAGTCTGATGAGATGGATGCTGGTGTCTCTGAAACCGCCATCTGTCTCATTGCGGTCCTAAGATTCGGCTGCCTTTAGAGATCTTTAATTTACTAATGTAAGTTGATTGTGCTGTTGAAATAACCTCCCAGGCCTTCTGGCCTGGTGAGATTAATTAAAGAATCAAGAGGGAAGTCCCAGGAAGTGTGCTGCGGAGACCGAGAGGCTGTTGGCTCATGATGTTTCAGAATGGCTGCTGTCATCGGGGCCGCCGGGGGTGAGGTCTGTGGACCAATGAGAAAACCCATGGTCCGGTGAGTTCATGTGGCTCCTCTCTCTTCCCTGTGCTCTGCAGCGCCAGCCGGCCTTTGACACCTTCGACGGTTCTCTGTTTGCTGTGTTCCCCTCCTTCAGTGAAGAGCAGACGCTCCAAGAAGTGCCCACGGGCTTCGATTCCGTCTCCCATGGTAATTTGCTCCCTCCAACTTAGCAGAGATGGTGTACAGCTTCCCTCAGGAGCAGGGTTTAATAGGGGCACGGTCAGTTCACAAAGACGGACCCATTCTCCAGCTAAGAATGCCAACACCTTGAGTATTCGGCATAGACAGTCTTGATGGCCGTCAGTCTTCTGGGGGGGGAGGAGAATCCAGTTCTCCTCTTGTACGAGTAAACTGGTCATCCTGGTGTCTCCACATTCGATGGCCACCTGTGGACCGAGGACCTCTGAGAGTCCCTCTTTGGGTGTTTTCAAACACTTGCCCATCTCCCTGGTGTCTTCTTCAAATAGAAGGTAGTGGACATGGAAACGTGTCCCGCCTCCTAATGCTCACTTTACATTTCTAGTTAAAACACCCCAGTGGGCGAGTGAGTGCGCACATACACACACACACACACACACACACACACACACTTTCCCCTTTGAGTTTTGGGGCCATGGATTGCTCTTGCTCATCCTAACCCATTTGTATTTTGGTAGTAGTTCTCACTGCCGTTCTTCATTCTAATCAAAGGACTAGCACGTCATGCCAGATACGTCTCTACAATTACTTCATAGTCATTGGTGGGACGCATTGCCAGATTGATTTGTCATACGAGGCAGGTGCTAGAAAGCACAGCCCAGAAAGACCTATCAAAGCACCCAGGTTTTCGTAAGCTCGGCGTCATCTGGCAGTCATTTATCATTTCTGAAATTTCTGACAGCACCGGAGAAGTGTGGGTCTCTCAAAGACAGTTGGGGGCGTGCCTGTTTCACGGGGGCGCGGAGTGTTTGTCTGAGCCCGGCACGCCCCGGCTCCCCTGCCATCTGCTTGGCTTTGTGGACACAGCTCCCAAGTCTAACATTCACAGCCACCGAAAGGCAGCCAGGGAGTGCCCCGCCCTTTTGGAACTGTAGTGTGACACTGTCGTCTATAAGGGGCCACACTCCAGAGCCATGCAGGCGGGTAAGAGAAAGGCACAGTCTCGCGTTGTGAACGCTTTTCTGCTCCTGACAGTTTTGTGCTGCGTTCGTAACCATCCTTGACTGTGTTACAGGACACAGACGGCAAGGTTGGACACTTCTGAACAAAGACCATACAGTTTAAAATATGCTTAAATATAATGTGGGTAGACGTGGTGTCTGTATGTGCCTGCTTTATGAAGCTATGGAAAAATACCATATTTGATTTTTGTCTTAAAAGTTTAACACACACACACACACACACACACACATGCACGCACACAGATGCACTGGGGACTTTGCCAGGCTGACTTGGAACTCACTGTGTAGCCCAGGTTACCCTCAGTATCTTCCTGCTTCTGTCTCCCAAATACTGGAGTTACAGCTGTGTACCACCCAAACTCATTTTTTTTATTCTGCGTTTTTCTTTTCGTAAGTGGAATTCTGAAAAAGCACAATTGGTTTGGGCTCTTAATGTCATTGCTTACTTTTTAAAAAGGAAAAAATAATAATGGCATGTCAAATTGCATCTCTGCGACTATCGTAATAGAGCATACTTTATAAAAAAAAACTTTCCTTGTTTGCTTTTGAAGTCTTTTGGTAATACTGGGTAGGGAACCCAGGGTCTCCTGAGTATTACGCGAGTGCGCAAGCATTTAGCTGCACCCCGGACCCCCACGGCTGTATTTCTGTTAAGGAATCCTAAGCTTCTGTTGATATCTCCATCCTGGTCCTGACGTCCCTGTGGTCTCTCTCCAGACTCAGCCAGCTGTGAACTGCCCTTACTCACGCCCTGCAGCAAGGCCGTGATGAGCCAAGCCTTAAAAGCCACCTTCAGTGGCTTCCACAAGGAGCAACGGCGTCTTGGCATTCCCAAAAGTAAGTACTGGGCCTTGAGGCTGGAGAGTCCCCGAAGGACACGTGTGGGACTGGTTTGGCCGGGTCTGTCTTTTAAGACGCTCTTGGCTGTTTTGCAAGAAGTCTCAAGAATGTGGGAAGAATGCAGCTGCTGCCCTGTACCTGTGGCCTGCTGCACGCCTAACCCTGCACTCATTAAACACCAAGGGCCACTGGTGTCTTAGAACATGCCTGGGTCACAGCACGGCGGTGTCTCATTCGTTTGGGAATGGGGGAGGGGGGGTTGGTTTGGAGCTGTCCAGGCTTGGTGAATTGTAGAAGGCCACTCCCTGCCCTCCAGATCTTCACAAGTGTCTTCCTCTCTCGTCTTCCCTGCACAGACCCCTGGCTTTGGAGTGAGCAGCAGGTGTGCCAGTGGCTGCTCTGGGCCACCAATGAGTTCAGCCTAGTGAACGTGAATCTGCAGCGGTTTGGCATGAATGGCCAGATGCTGTGTAACCTCGGCAAGGAGCGTTTTCTAGAGCTGGCACCTGACTTTGTGGGGGACATCCTCTGGGAACATCTGGAGCAGATGATCAAGGGTACGGCTGCAGGACCTGGGGAGGTGGGGCCCAGACAGAAGGAAGGTGTGCTCTTCCGCCTCAGGCTGCCCAGGAGCCCAGAGTCCCTTGTTTCAGAACACCCCCAAGCGAGTCAAACAGGGAGGTGATGACCGGGTCCTCATTCCAAGGAGGGAAGCGTGTGCGATGTTCACGCCAGGTGTAGCCACAAGGCAATAGCCTGAGTCACCAAATTGCTGGTTGTTGCCAGGCTGCACTGGTTGTGCCAGCTCAGACAGAGCACCTTGGATATTTAGGCCAGCCAGGGTGCCATGCAGGTGAGCTCAGCCAGGGTGCCATGCAGGTGAGCTCACTGGAAGAGCCAAGAGAGACAGGGACACGTTTGGATGTAAGGCAGCATAAACAGATCATTGTGGATTTCACAGGGAAATTACTCCAGTCGCTGAGGATTTTTGGAGCACACACGGGCTGTAACTGGTAGACTCATACACACACCGGAAATGTAAAGGGCAAACACTGAGCTCCGAAACCACTCTTGTCTCAGAACTCAAAGATCAGTGAGACCTGCTTTAAAAGACACCTGGGTTTAAGTGAAGAACAGTTCCAATAAGACTAACTTAAGTTAATTAAAAAAAAAAACAAAGTAGTAAGAAAATGGTTAGCGTCATGGTTAGGCACACCTGCCTTTCAACAGATAAACTCAGAATCTCATCTGGGGTCCCATTGCCGGGACCATTTAGTTATGGCTGTCTAGAGCCAAGGATGACTGGCTTTAAACCCCCTGATCCCGTGAGAGCATGGACTGGCCTTACCCAGTACATTTCGGGGCTGTGTTGTGTGCATTTGTGTTGCTTGGCTTCAAGGGATGGAGTTTGTGGTTGTGTGTTCCCGGTAAGGGAGCTTACACAGAACACACACTTTCGCCGTGGACCTCATGACATCCCAGACTAACCTGCAGAGGGTATTAAGCCTCAGCGGGGGGCAAGATCCAAGTCTGTTTCCTTCACCCACTGTTTTCCCAGCCCCAGAACAGATGGTTTTTCATAAACATAGGCATGGAATGAGTACACTTTTCTAGACAAGTGACGTCACCGATTTGGGAAATCTTATCCCAGATTATTAGAAAAAAAAGTATACTAATTAAAAAAATAAAGATAAAAAGACACATAAGGGGGTTGAAATCAGATGGAATGTGAAGAACGAGGTGAGTCATTCCGGCATCCGCGGTACGAGACCGTGGAAAGTACTGCTTTTCTTGCGGAGTTTCTGAAGTGGGCTTGATGTCTCCCGTGTCTTTGTCTTTCAGAGAACCAAGAAAAGACGGAAGACCAGTATGAAGAAAACTCACACCTCAACGCAGTCCCTCACTGGATCAGCAGTGATACATTAGGTCAGTCGGGTGGCCGTTTCTTAAAACAAAACTCTGGTTTTAGTCTCTCGAGCCCCTCAGGTAGCCTGTGGTAGCCGTCCATGGGTATTGATCTACTGAGCAGCTAAAACGTGGCAGATCCATGCGAAATGCGTCACGAGGATCTTAGAGTCTGACTCAGCCCTGCTAACTCAGAGGTCGTAAAATGAAGCCGATAACATAAACTATCCCTTGATGAGTTAGGGTACTGTTTATATATTGAGGTGGCCGCTGATATGCTGGCCAGTTAAATGGAAAATTAACTTCACCTGCTCCTTGTGTGTTTCATGTGGCCGCTGGGAAACTTAGCCTTGCTTAAGTGGCTCATCTAATCTCTAGGAGTCAACGCCATCCTAGGGCCGTTTTTAACCGTAAAGAGGTGAAAGAAGTCAGGAGACATTAATGCAGAGTTAACAGAAGATGTGGCCACCAGTGTATGGCAGACAGTCCCTGTGCTCTGAATTTGGCACCCAGGACACATGTCTCAAAACAGGGTCTCCTGGGGGTGCCCCACAAGGTCAGGTGTGAGTCTAGCTGTCGTGATGTTGACTTCAACAGCTCTGTCATCTGATCCGTCCCTGTGTTCAGGCTTCGGCATGGAACAGGCGCCATATGGAATGCAGGCACCAAGCTACCCCAAAGACAGCCTCCTGGACAGCATGTGTCCGCCGTCTGCCACGCCTGCAGCTCTCGGCCCTGAGCAGGAGTTCCAGATGTTGCCCAAGTCTCGGCTCAATACCGTCAGCGTCAACTATTGTTCCGTCGCCCAGGACTTCCCTGGCGGCAACTTGAATTTGCTCACCAACAGCTCTGGTAAGGGGGCGTTCTGGAGTTCTGGAGTAAGGTTGTTGATTTATCCTAGAAGCCATTCAGGATGGGAGACGGTTGGTAAGGGCATCCTGTCTTCTGCCATGGGAGAAGGAGATTAAAGGAAAGTGGGGGCAGGGGAGTTCACCTTCCGTGTGACTTTGCGTAAAGCACAACCAGTTTGAAACCCTGGTTTGGGTTCCGTAGGTGTCTAGTGAGCAATACCAAGCAGGGTTAGCAACTTCAAGCTAACTTCCTCGCAGTGGAGTATACGCTCTGTTGGACACATGGGAGTGTGCCAGATTCCGGGTTTAAGGGGTCCACGCGCCTCAGGTTGTACATCTGGTTGGGTTGACAACGGCCGTGTATACCTGTGTTACAGCCCTCTTGTGTGGGGATAGAAGTTCCTATCGATCTGTAAGGTTCCTTCCTGCCCCCTCCCCCTGGGGGCCCCTCTTCACGAGGGCAAACCATTCGACTTTTCACCATCACAGATTGGTTTCTGCTGCCCGGGGGGCTTCGCACAGATGGGTCCCTGCTAACCGTCTTCTTCTTTGGGGTTTGTCTGTTACCAGCCCTCCTGTTTGTAGCATTTGTTCCTTCTCGTGGCTGCATAGCGTTCTACATTTTATTCGCGCTTCCGTTGGAGGAAGGCGTTACGAGCACATAACCTGAGTTTAAGAGCGCTCACAGGGGTGGGGGAGTCAGAAGGATGATGTATGTGAAGTGTGTGTGTCTGTACTGGGGGGCTTAGCTGGTAGTGATGCAGGAACTGGGTCCAAGATGCCCTTGAACCCATGGCCCAGGGCCGCTGGCCCTTCTGACATCCTGGAGGGGGTCTTAAGCGCCTGTTTGGTTGCTTTTTTCTTTAACCAGGGAAACCCAAGGACCACGACTCTCCAGAGAACGGCGCGGACAGCTTCGAGAGCTCTGACTCGCTCCTTCGGTCCTGGAACAGCCAGTCGTCCTTACTGGATGTGCAGCGGGTGCCGTCCTTTGAGAGCTTTGAGGAGGACTGCAGCCAGCCACTGTGTCTCAATAAGCCAACCATGTCCTTCAAGGACTACATCCAGGAGAGGAGTGACCCAGTTGAGCAAGGCAAACCAGTTATCCCTGCAGCTGTACTGGCTGGCTTCACCGGTGAGTGCAGTGCCCCCGGAGGGCTTCCTCGGGACTGCAGTGCCCACCCCACTGCGGTGACACTCACACTCTGAGGTTGGCGGTACCCAAGTCCCGCAAGAGCTTACAGAAGTTTTCCTGTTAGGGTCTGGGGGGGGGTAGGAGAAGATCTCAGGCCACGCCCTCTACCTGGGACAGGAGGAGGAAGGGTAGGAGAAGGGGACAGATGGACAAATTGGTCCTGGTTCTGACTCATGCTCTGGATCTCTAGGAATGTAAACTGGCCTGGGGAGGGCGGGGAGCTGGCTCGTGGGATACCAGCACTGTTTACCTCTCTTGACCTCCTCCAAAAGCATCTAAGGGGAGGGGAGAGCTCTTCTGGGCAGAGGGTGAATCTTAAAGCTGTTTTAAGAACCAGACAACTTCAAAACTGGGGTGAAAATACCAAGAATGCTCATTTTTAACTGCTACAGATGTCTTTAAATAAACCACCACCTTGTCATGCCGGCCAGAAGAAGCCACTGTGGATTAAAAAAAAAGCTTAAAAAAATAAGATTAAAATGAGGATGTGTAGATTTTCTCTTTCATCATCAAAAACAAATGACTATGTGTATGTGCATATATATATGTCCTCATAAAAGGGTTTGAACCTGAGGCCATTTTGATGCCTAGAAATCCAAGGACTGCTAAGGAAACCCCACAGCATTACGAGTGTCTACCCGACAGTAATAGTAGTACTGTTTGTTAGGTAGCCCAGCCTGTGGCCCGTGGTGTTACACTGGGTAGTGTGGAGACCCACTAAGGAATCAGTTCGGAGGTGACAAGCCCTGGTGGCCACTGAAGTGAGTCATCTCGGTCTGGTCCCATCTGAGGCCTTTCAGCCTGTGACGAATTGACCCTGGAGTACCCACCCCAACCGCACTGGGTCTTTTCTAGAAATAAAACTTTTAAGTTACCAGAAGGCATCAAAATGGCAGGATTGGTGCTGATGAGGGTTGGTAACCCTGTATCCTCCTCCCAGAAGACAAACACAGCAGCCAAGCAAGAGCCTTGGCTCAGCTGTCCTCTTGGAGGAGCACCGGGCAGAGAGGAGGTTACTGTGACTTCTGCCTGTCAGAGTGTTTCCCCGAGGGCCCCCCACCTGCTCACCAGTACAATGCCTGGTGGGGTCCATGTTCTCCAGACAGCCAGAACACCGGGAGGGTCAGATCCCTACTGATCTTACAGAATCACCTATAACCACTGCATCCCTTTATCCCCAGGAAGTGGACCGATCCAACTGTGGCAGTTTCTTCTGGAGCTGCTCTCTGACAAATCCTGTCAGTCTTTTATCAGCTGGACAGGGGATGGCTGGGAGTTCAAGCTTGCTGACCCCGACGAGGTAATGACCGTTTGCACCCTCAACCCCAGTTTGTCACATTGGCTTCTGGCACAGGGAAAGTCGACAGAACCAGCAAGAGCCCTTCCCCCACCAGGAGCCCCCGGCTCTGGGGCCCAGCTGAGCTGAAGCCGCTCGCTGGCTTGTTCGTGAACAGGCCTGGTGTCTTTTGGGCAGTGCCCTGCCTCCACGGACACCGTCTGTTGGAGGTTCTCTGGTTGCCCTCGGCAAGCTCTAGAGGGAATTTGCCTTTATCCCAAGTTGGACCAGGCACATAGCAGCCAGGGAGCCTTCAGGGTCGGCGCTGGGTCTCTGTGCTGGAGATGGCTTTTGGTAAAGCACGATGCCAGCGATGTATGTAACATAATCCGCCACCCTCTGCTCTGTGTCTGGGGGAATAAGCACGTCTCGTGCGTGGGCCAGGGTAGTCTCCCCAGCTGTCCCATGGCTTGGAGCGTTGTCTCAGCGGGCGGAGTGGCTGCCTAGCCCGCTCACAGCAGCCGTGGCTTCTAGCCGCAGCGTCACAAGTCAGGTGGGGTGGTTACATGCCTGTCTGTCATCCACAGGTTGACGGCCAACCTCAGATTGTGAGACTCTGGCTCTTTAAAAGGGATTAGGGGGTAGGGGCGGTGTTGAAATAAGAATTATGGGGGATAGCTGACAGCAGATGTCCCTGTCCGGGACACTCCTGCTTCCAAATGGTTGGCCCCAGGAGCTGGGGGGACCCCTGGCCCTTGTGCAAAGGAGCGTCTCCACACATTTAAAGTGACCCAGACAGGTCCCCGTGACTCTCGGGTTCTTCAGGGTGAGCACCCCGGGCTCGGGGAGGCAGTCGAGAGTGGACAACAGGTGACCCTGACCTGTCTGTGTCTTCCCGAAGGTGGCCCGCCGGTGGGGAAAGAGGAAAAACAAGCCAAAGATGAACTACGAGAAGCTTAGCCGGGGTCTGCGATACTACTACGACAAAAACATCATCCACAAGACGTCAGGCAAGCGCTACGTGTACCGCTTCGTGTGTGACCTGCAGAACTTGCTAGGGTTCACTCCTGAGGAACTGCATGCCATCCTGGGCGTCCAGCCTGACACAGAAGACTGAGGTTCCCCGGGGATGATCCTGAGCTGGCCCCGGGGGGGCCCCCGGGGACTGAGTGGGAAAACCCGTCCTGACCCCACTGCTCCAAAGACCCATGGGAGGGCAGGATGGACCCCCCCCACACCTCTGGGAGCTACCAAACAGAAGTGGCCTCCCCTGGTCCCATGCCTCTTCCCCAAGGCCAGTTCCCCAGTGGTGGAAGGTGGCGTGGCCTCTCTGTCTGTGTCACCAGACCTGGAAGGGAAGGGGCTCTGGAAAGCCACCCCAGCACCGAGCAGGCTGTGTGCCGATCACCGTCGTTTGAGGCTATTTGAGATGCTCCAGGGAGCTGGCGTGTGGTGGGTGGTACAAGCCCTGAAAAACGTTGTTGTTTTTTTTTTTCTTTGGCCTTTTTGCCGCCAGGAGTAGCGAACACAAAAGCCACCTCCTCTAAGCCGGCTAAGGCAGGTGGAGAGCAGTGACTGCTCCGTCTCAGAAGTCAGTTTGTACATATTTATTGTATCTTACGACGTCAAAAATACGCCAACTGTTCTATTTAACGGAAATTGTATATTGTATTTAAAAGTAATTATAACTGTGTTTGAATCAAGAATGCAGATACCTGGTAGATTTCCTTTTCTTTCTTTCTTTTCTTTTTGTTTTCCCACTAGCACCTAGGAATGTCATTTTACACAGATTTAATCTCTCAGGGGCCGACTGAGAGAAATCGTAATATACTGTTTTCATTTGATTTTCCAACAGGAATGGGGTCTGAGGGATGACCCCTTGTTTTTACTTTTGTTTTTGTTGTTGTTGTTGTTGTTGTTATGTTAGTTCTGACTTGCTCATTATCTGGCCAGGACTTTGTATATTGAGGTTTTGTTTTTTTTAAATAAGAGACTTAATGTTATTGTTTGAGGGTGCCTTGGGCCTCTCCACTTCCTCCTGGACTGTAAAGCAAAAGCTACAAAGCAGTATTTTTCTTGACAAATGGCACATGCTTCCCACTTCTCTGCATGCCTTAACTCGGTTTCTACACAAATATATTTTATTTTTTGGCGTAACTGTGCCTTTCCAGGCAACTCCCCGCACCCCCTCCCCCAGCCAATTGCTTCCTTCCTTAGCCCCAAGGCATTCTGTGTGACTACAATAAGAAGACTATTTTTGGAAATCTATGCCTCCTTTTCAGAGATCAGAAGGGATTTATGTAGCAGCTATTTTTACTGCAAAAAAGTAACTCACTGGAAAAAAACTGTAATTTGTACGAAAGCTTTATTTTTATCTTCGCTCGTGTAAAGGGAAATGTGTCGGGCAGCGCCGAGGGCAGTCGGGAGGGATCGATCGTCCATCAGCCTTTGACCTCAAGTGAAGCCTGGCGCTTCCCATCCCCCTGACCTGCCGTGTTTCTTGCATCTGGGTTGCACGTGCCTCTTTCTGCTCCGTGTCCTGAGAGGGTTTACTCCTCTTATTTTTCTTGGCCTCGGATACCCAGGAGCACAGGCAGGGCCAAAGCAAGATGGGAAACAGGGCGGAGCTGCTTGCGCGGTGTTCCTATCTGGTGAAGAGCTCGAGACCCCACCTCGAGACCCCAAAGCTTTCACCCCGTCACTGGGTTTCAAAAGCAGGAGCACACACTTTGCCGTTCACCGGCAGGGTGGCCTCGGGGCCAGCAGGTGACACCGACAGAGAGTCATCAAACCACGAGACCTTGCAAATGGACCCAAGAACGGCGAGGACCTGCTGTGCCAGTCCTGGGAGCCTTGGCCTGCAGACTGAATGCTCTGCAGCTAAGCAGAGGCTGCCTTTCAGACGGGACCTGTGTGTCACTGGGACACCTGTCTATAATGTAAACAGACACGGGACGGGGAACGTGTGCTCCTGTCCAAAGCTTGGCCAACCCTTCGGTTTATATGCAGTTGAGCCACGTGAAATTGCCACGTCTACCCCTGAGTTTTTGTCAGCCAAGATGGCAGCTTTACATGGTTGAACCTTGGAGGGTCTTGAGTATTAAAGGTTTTGTGATTTGGCCTTTTCCTCCTCAAATAATAAAAGTGTTTGGTTTATGCCAATGCCTCCTCCTTGTAATGTTGGCTCCTTGGAATATCTCTCCTTCCTGGTCCCGACCCAGAGGCGGTAGATGAGAATTTGAACCCATTCTGTACCGCTCACCGATGCAGTCCACTGAGCCCTTCCTCAAAGAAGAAGGAGAAGAAGAAAAAAATCTGTTTCTTGTGAAAATTTACCTAGATTAGAATAGAAAGATTGGCCTTGTCTTTGTCAGAATTTTGGAGGAGAACTTTCGGGAGCTTGTGTGAAACGTTAGAGTCTGAGGTTGAAGCAGCTTGGTCACTGGAGGGTCACACAGCTCCACTCCTCTTGCCGGAACTCTCAGAGTGGTAAGACAACCACAGGGCGCGTGGTCACAGAAGGTGTGTTCTGGCTCCCAGGGTATTTCTACACTCGAGAGTCTGAAAGTAGATGCTAAGAAGCAGGCCACACCCAGGCCCCGCAAGTTTCCCAACTGCCTGTGACGGTGCTGGGAAAAGTCAGAGTCAGCAGTGGGTCAAATCGGTGTCTCACACCCTCCAGGGAGCTGGTGGCGAACAAGCCACCCACAATTCGATCCATTCCTGGTTATCATCTTACAAATTAATAAAAAAAAATTAAGTCAGGGGGCCGAACTATAGACTCCCTTAATATATATGTGACACTGGTGTGACTGGGACAATTTATGAGGCCACAGGCAGTGGGTCCAAGATCTAACGCTAATGCACAAACTGACTTAGTGGAGCCGTTTCTGTAAGGAGAGACACCTTGCCCAGCCTAGACACAGGGGTGTGGGGGTGGAGAGGTGCCTTGGTCCTGCCTCAACGAGATGATAGGACAGACTTAGTAGACTTCCTAGGGGAGGCCTCACCCTCTCCCTGGAGCAGATGGGGGGAGAGGGAGGGGGAAAGAGGGGGAGAGGGAGGGGGAACTGGAATTGGGATGTAAACAATATTTTAATAAAAAGAAATTAAGTCAGGGCTAGCGAGGGTGGGGGCACCTCAGCAGTTAATGCACCCTGCTCTTGTAGAGGACCCAGGTGTGGCTCTCGGGGCCCACCCAGCAGCTCACAAACACCTATAACTCCAGGGGATCTAACGCTCCCTTCTGGTTTCTGTGGCAATGTAAGCATGTGCTGTACACACATGCAGACAAACACAGATTTGTTTGTTTGTTTGTTTGTTTGTTTTGAGACATGGTTTCTCTGTGCAGCCCTGGCTGTCCTGGAACTCACTCCGTAGACCAGGCTGGCATCGAACTCACAGAGATCCACCTGCCTCCGCCTCCCCAAGTGGTGGGATTAAAGGCCACCCGGCTCAAACAGAGATTTCTTTTTTTAAATATCTAGAGTCCTCATTTCAAAAATCATCCATCACATATCAGCATAATAGCACCTAATGTTTTTTTCAAGTATATTACCGCGTTGTTTCCTGTGTCCGCACATCTCTTTAATGTTTGGGTTCGTGCGTCTTGGGTCTGCGGAGAGAGTCGGGCCTGACGTTCATATCGACCGTGTCAGAAATGGTGGCTGCGTCACATGACACTGCATCGCGCACCTACGCGGGTGACAAGAGGAGAGGTGAGCTGAGATTGCATGAAACCACACAGTAAGCTCCCTGTTGCCATGTTCTCCCAAATCGGCCTGCCTTGGATCCCTGCCCGTGTGCAATTTTGTAACCTGAATTTGGAAAATGTCACTTCAAGTGATAGCACAGTGTAGTAGACGCTGCCAAAGGGTTACTGGACTTTAGTATCACTTCCCAACTTTACAGAAAAGCTCCAGGAAGATTATCGGGCTCACAGTGACATGCACAAAATCCTTTTTTTTTTTTTTTTTGGTGTTTCAAAAGCTTTATTTTCACTTGGTCCAAGACCTGGGAGGGGCTCCAGGACGGTTGACATGCACAAAATTCTTAAACTTTGAAAGTTCAACCCTTTATCGTTACCAACCATCTTTTCCTAAATTGTTAACTTGGAAGCGCCAGATGTGTCCCGTTTAATTTTAAGAAGCAACCGGCCAGATATCCATGGTAAGATATAGTTTGTCAATTGTTCTTCCAGGTAAAAATCTTATTTGAATGAAGTGGTTAGTTTAGCTGGCAACTCTAATATGGCTGTGTTTCCTGTGGGGGGGGGCAGTCACCATACTTTAATTCAGAAGGCAGCAGACTTCCATCTCGGAGAAGTCAAAAAGAGATCTGTCCTGTGAGAAAAGGAATCTCAACTGCCGTATCAAATCCATTTTTATACGTGACATTTGTGTGTGGGGGGGCTCTTTATTCTTTGCAATGTGGTGAAGAGAGCAATGACAGTCAGTCTGCTCTGACCTCTGAAGAGGCGCCAGGAGTCTTAATAGTCTTGGTGTTTGCACCAAGGCCAATGTCAACACAGTAAAACAGAGTAAACAGATTAGTAATATTATAAAAACAGATTAGTAATATTAAGGACAGCCATGAGAGCATCTCAGAAAACCCAGGAGCTTGAAGCCCATGCTTTGAGAGCCGTTCTAAGAAGTAGACACTTGTGTAGAACAAAGGGATAGACTATAGCAGGGGCGGTCAGTTGAGCCTTGGAGCCCTGTAACCCAGTGTCCTTGTCTGCCCCTCATCCCTCCATAGTTAAAAAGGACATGGTTTTGCTTAAACAAACTCCTTTCTAGCTCCTCCATGACTCGTCAATCCAATCCCAAACCTCCTAAGAAAAACAGTGTATTTTGCCACAGGTTTTTGATAGTTCTGAATCGTATCGAATTGCATTTATATGTTTGAAGAAAGCCTTAGCTTTCTGCCCCTGAAACAAAACACCTGAGATAATTATTTATGAAGATAAAAGGTTCTTCAGGCTCACTGTCTGGAGGTGTCAGTCCAGGGTCAGGGGGCTTGCACTGTGGGTGAGCAAATGCTTCTTGGTGCCAGCTCCGGTCATAGTGAAGCTGTCTGCCCTGTGACCAGAGGGCAGCAGAGAAAGATGAGGCGAGCTCCCCGCGACCTGAGGACCCATGGAGACTTCTCACCAGGCCCTAGTGGGGATCAGCCTATGGGCCTTTGAAGACATTCAAAGACGGAACTGTAGCGACGTGATATGATTCGAAGCACCGTCTCCAGGCCTCTCGTGAGATGGCCTTGCAGGTTAAAGCACCTGCCTCCCAAACCTGGTGTCCTGAGTTCAATCCCCAGGACCCCAGCAAGAGAGAACCACCAACGCCTAAAGGTTGACCTCTGACCTCCACACAAGTAATGCGGCATGCGTGCCCATGCACGCACTAAATTAAAGTTTTAGAAGCTTTTTCGTTGTGTCCCTGTAACACCAGGAACTGAAAAACAGGGTACTGTGTTTGCCAGGCAAGCACTCTACACTGAGCTGTGTCCCCTGCACTTGAATCACTTAGGAAAACATTTCTAGGCTCATTCTGTCTGTTTTAAAATTCTAAAAGTTTCCTTAAAGCTACAATAAAAACGATGTGTCTGGTTTTTTTTAACCACGTGACTATGAAATGTCTACTCCACGTCCACTAATGAATCAGCAATCCTTTGAGTACAAGGTGACTAGTCATTTGTGAGGATTATCATTGACTCAGATGTTTTATGCTTGTGGCTGATTTCACAAGTATGCTTCTTAATAAAATTTACCCACAAAAGAGAAGGGAACTTATGTTTGTGGAAAAGTCATTTTTTTTTCTTTAACATCCTTATTACATTGTATGAGAGAGGGGGGGGGAGGGAGGGAAGGAGGGAGGGAGGGAGGGAGAAGGAGAGGGAGAGGGAGAGAACATACAACAGAACCATTCGAAGTCTGAAAACAACTTGTGAGAGTTAGTTCCCTCCTTCCACCATCTGGGTCCTACGGATCAAGCACCTTCATCCATACTGATCCATCTCACAAGCGCCTCATATTTTTCTTAACATATTCAAAACTGAGGCCCGGCTGAGGTGAGGAGTGCAGCCTCTCTGTGGCTGTTAACCGAACCAGAACTCAAAATCAGGGATCTGCATCCTAGCGGGATTTTTCTGGCCACAGGAATAGCAACACGTGTTCTGGCCTGAGGGTTCCCTCCAAAATTTGCATTGCTATCTGCTTCCTTTTGTGACAATAGTGAGGATTGGGGTGTTCTACAGGTGAGGGTTTCTTAGGGCTCTGCACATCATCTCTGCCTGTTCTGTCCTGTAGTGCTACACCAAGAAGACCCTCAGCAGATACCAGAACCTCGATGCTGGATTTCTCCAGAACAGTGAGAAATAACCCTGCTTTCTTTATGAATTGCCCATCCTAGATCCTGTTGTAATGACAGGAAATATAAAAATATGAAGTAAGAAAGTTTTGTTCATTTGTTTTTGTTTTTGTGTGATAATGTCTCACTATATATAACCCAGGTTATCCTCTAACTTTGGACAATCCTCCTGCCTTAGCCTCCCAAATGTTAGGATTAAAGGCATGAGGTGCCACCCTTGACTCTAAAACATGGAGGTGTTTTGAAATCATCAATACTCTCTGAATCATGAAAGAACTTTCGTCGGTATCACCATTCCGGATTTACATGTCTGGGTCTTCAGGTGATCAACGGGATCAAACTGAAGACCCAGACGATTCCACTCATCTACAGACACAGATACGCTGGAGACAAGGCAGAATCTTCAGCAAAAAGCCTTAGCCAAAAGACATAGCTGCAAGTAGAAGACCACAAACAGATCCCACGTCTATCACCTTGCACAAAACTCTGTAGAGTGAAGCCTTTTCCTTGCCAGCCACTTTGGTTTTTCCCCACCAGTTGCCTGGGCTCTGCCGCGTTGTAGTCCCCAAATAACACACAAGACACCGTATTAATTATGAAGCTGTTGGCCTTGCTTGTTTCTCACTGGCTAGCTCTGACTTAAGTATTTACCCCATAATTGTTAATCTAAGTATTTCTCTTACCGGAGAAAGGGGTCCAGACATCTTACTTCTCTGTCAGGCTACATTGTGACTCCCTGTGTTTCTCCTACCCAGAATCCTCCTCGACTCCTAGTCCCACCTATCTCGCTTCCCTATTGGCCAACAGTGCTTTATTGACATATACACAGGACTTCCCCCATCAAAACTCAACTCCAGATAGATCAGGAATCTCAACAGAAATAGAAACTGAAGCCATGAAACTGACAAAAGAGAAGGTGGGGGCAGAGTCTTGAACTCACTGGCACAGTAGAATACTTTCTAAGCAGGACACTGATAGCACGGGCATCCAAACCCAACACTTGATGTATGATGGAACCTTGTGAGGCGGAGAAAGCTTCTGTATGGAAAAAGGATGCCATCAGAAAAAAATGGCAGTCTACAGATGGGGAAAGATCCTTACCAATTTATTATGTGTCTGAAGTAAGGTTAGTATCTGGAATATACAAAGAGCTAAAAAGAAATTTTTTGAGCATCAAGTCAACAAATAATCCTATCAGACACGGAGAACAGACCTAAACAGAGTTCTCAAAAGATGAAACGCAAGTGTCTGAGAAACACTTAGAGAAATGTTGAACATCTTTAGCCATCAGGGGGATGTAAATCAAAAACTACTTTGAGATTTCATTTTGCCCCAGGCAGAGTATCCAAGATCAATAAAACGGATGGCAGAAATGATGATGGGAAAAGGGGAACACTTACTCATTGCTGGTGGGAGTGAAAACTTGTACAACCACTAGGAAAATCAACGTTGGATGTTTCTCAGAAGACTGGGAATCAATCTACCACAATATTCAGCTACATTACTAATGTTCATATACCCAAAGAACTCTGTTCCTTACTTAACTTGCTCATCTATGATCATTGCTGCTCTGTTCATAATACGCAGAACTGGAAACTGCCTAGATGTCCATCAACTTATGAATGGACTTTCATGAAGTCAGTAATATTTTACACCTGTTGATAAAAGGAAATTTGCAGGCAAATGGATAGAGCTAGAAAAAAAAAGCATCCTGGGAGAGAATGGCTGCTATCTTTTAAGCTTTAGATATGTGTGCTCAATCCAAATAACCATAGGGGATAGGTAGCTAATAAGAGACCAAGGAGGGGGAAGAGTCTTCCAAGGAAGGGGTGTTGGGGAAGTCTTATGCCAATAAAGCACTGTCTGGCCAATAGGGAATCTAGATAGGAGGGACTAGGAGTCCAGGAGGATTCTGGGAAGGAGAAACACAGGAGAGTTCGAGATGTAACGCCATTGGGGTAGGAAGCCCGGAAACCTCTCCAGTAAGAGACATACTTAGATTAACAATTATGGGGTAATTACTTAAGTCAGAGCTAGCCAGTAAGAAACAAGCAAGGCCAACAGCTTCATAATTAATATAGCCTCCTGTGTGTTTATTTGGGACTGATGCGGATCTGGAACCAGGCAGGCGAGAAGGCTCCTCTCAAAGAAAAAGCTTCTCTTAACAAAGGGGAAGTAGAGTATAATGTTATTAAGAGATGGGGGGGGGGAGAGAGAGAATATGAAGATGAAATTGGGAAGAGAAGGAAGCAGGATAAAGGAGGGACAACTAACACTAACGGCCATTGGAAAGGCCATATGAAAACTTACTGCTCTAGAAGCTCCCTA